TTATTTTCTTGAACCATACATGGAATCTTCATCAACACCAATACATGCTTTGCTTTTACAACTTATCTAAGAATTGTAACAAAAATATATCTATTATAGCAAAATGACATCTAATATATTTGGTTACATGAATCTCTACCACTAAAATTTTAAGATAAATTTAAGATGTATTTGGACTATTTACGATCTTCCCCTATAATGTCTCCTTTCAGGCTCTGTTTAACTCATTGCTGGTTTAGTTGGACATGTGGGGCACCTATACACATGCAGCGAGGTTGCTCCAACATGCTGTAATTCCAGTGCATCCATTAATCAAGCCTGGTGGAGCACGGTGATTACCAAACTCCAGCATCACTTGTATCAGTTGTCCCTGCACTGAAAAATGGTGGTGGGGGCACTTTAATTAAAGCTCATTCCACAAGCTTTAGTTAGTGTCCCACTGTCATTTTTCAGCACAGGGACGCTGATACACTTGATGATTCGGATGCTTTAATTAGAGTGGTTCTCAGAGCCACTCTAATTAAAATGCACCCCCCCCACACACACCTCCCCGAGCATGTCTATAAATGCCCGTGGATTGCCTCCTTTGCTTCACTGACCAAGCTGGTTGTCATATCTGCAAAGGTTCATTCTACGGTCACTCAGAAAAAGGCTTTGAGCCTTCTGCTTAGCCACACTTCTGCAGCTTGGCCTAGACCCCTTGAAAATGGCCAAGGCTGGTACCAAGCCAGACAGCATGCTCCATCAGCTGGCTTTTACTTGGGCATGGAAACATAGCCTTCAGAGCCAATCAAATGTCTGTGCAGCACTTGCTGAAAACTGACAGATCAAGCGATCTCTGCCATGCCATCTGTTCATCATGGCCTTAAAACGTACAGAGCCAGTCTACAATTGATCACTCCAGCCTGAGGAAGGAAGCTCAGGCCAGCTCCCTTTGCTAACTGGTATGTAAGAGGAATCCAGTCATGATGCCCTTTAGTAATTTGTGCTAGATCAGCTACTGGACCAGGAGATTCACTCTTCTGAGGTCCCTGCTACACATTACACAACTAACTGGTTCATCATGCAGTAAACTTAGATGGGCCACAAATGCCAAGTACGACCAGCCACAAGTGCAGAGTAATTCTCATACAATTAACTGGTTAGTCACGCAATAAATTTAGACCAGCCACAAATGCAACGTAATTAACACAGAATAAAAATGACTCCCTAGCTATAAAGAGGTAACCAGTTAGAAAGTTAGTGCTTGAAAATGTGTAACAACCAGGGATCCTAGTTTTCCGATTAGAAAAACCCAAATAAAGAACCCAATTTCTGGACTGAATAAAGTAACCCAAAATCCATATTTTTCCATGATTAAAATGAAAAACCACTAATATCTAGATAGATACATAGTAGTGTTTCATTTTGATCATGGAAAAATGTGGATTTTGTGTTACATTTTTTAATCCAAATTGGGGATTTGTTTGTCAGAGAAACCCAGGATCCCTGGTAACTCTATAGCTGGTTTCTATCCAGCTTTAGTTTGAATGTGTAGCAAGGCCCAGATACTTGGCAAGTAAAGCTCTCTCGTGCAGTTGGCTGTGCACTGTTCAAGACTTTCTGAAAACAGTGATGTTGTTCTTAGAGCTATGTTCCCACACCATGTTTCTTTTTAGCTTTTTTTTTAGATGCCCTTTTTCTTACACTGATTATTTAATATAGCAGCTGACAAACTCTCTGCCTTTGAGCAGCAATTCAGCAGCGTTGAGGCCCTGCTCACCGCTCAGCTGTTTAGGACAAAGGGTAAAGGGCAGACCCTGACTGCCTGGGTGGGGGTCTACATTTGCACCCACTAATTTAGTGTTTCCCAAATTTCTGACAGCCGGGCAACACTTGGTTTTCCGGACGACCCGCGTGCAGGACTTCGTCTTTCAGCCCGGCCTCAGCTTGACTCCCTCGTGACATCACTCCCCCGGGACCAATCAGCGGGGGAAGCTCGAGTGACGTCATCCGGGCTGCCCCCCGCACCAAGCTTCCTGCCGCTGCTGCCGCCTTGCTCCACAGGGTCAGTTTAATAAGGGTCGAGCTGTAACTATACGAGCGGCAGCAGCAACACGGGATGGGAGCAGGGTAGGCAGAAACTCAGCCCCCGGAGCTCCCCAGCAGCCCGAAGAGCGCGCCGAATGATGCGTTCCACCTCGCTTCTCGCGAGATCGGACTCTTCTGAAGGCCCCGCCTCCCTTTCTCACGGAAATATCGCGGGATTTGAAAGATCACTCTTCCCCACAGTCACTTTCGCTGCCCGCGGGTGAACGAAGTCTCGCGAGACCTCTCCTCTCTCTTCTGCCCCCTGCTTGCGGCCGTGATGGTGGGTACCGGTACCGGTGCGGGATATTCCCTTTCGCCTTCTCGCTCGGTGTCCCGTAGCCGGGTGCCTGCGGTCCTGGCCCGGGGGAAGCTGGAGGGGGCTCCCCAACCGGCCGGGGGCGGGGGTGATTGGGCCGTCGCTGGGCGGGAGTTGCGCGCATTTCCCCGCTCCTGGGCTCTGCTGATGCCGCCCTCGCCCCGTTCCTGCTACGTGTCGGGCGGCTTGGAGCCTTCCTCAGAGGCCGGGGGCGGCAGCGGGGCCAGGCCTTAAAAAAATGAAATTATCGTATGAAAATCTCGAAACGATCGTGTCTGCAGAAACATGATGGTACCTTGGGAAACATGCGCAGAATCTTGTCTTATTCGTATTGTCACTGTGGTCCCCAGTGAGCGAGTGAGAGTTGGGGCTTGGGAGCTGAAGCCTTTCTTTATTTCGAAGCAAGCGGTCGTACGAAAGTGCTGGCACCAAACCCAGAAGTTGGTTAAGGCTGTGAGAGTGGCTTGGGTTTTGTATACACTGTGTTGCATCAGTGAGCTGCCTCAGAAATTATTGTGCGTTTTGAACACTTTTGCTGTTACTGATTGTCCATCATATGCGGGTTGAAGTTATCATACGAATATGATAAATATCATACACCTGGTAGCAGTGTTGGCCCTGGCGAAGCCCAGGCTGGGGGATTTGACTGGGGTAAGCCAGTGCTGCTGCTGGGACCAGAGCTGGATGTTCCTGCCTGGGGGCAGGGGGAGAGGGAGGAGGTCTCAGCCCTGCGCTCAGGGTCAGACTGATTGCCCCCAATTTGGGGTCACAAAAGGGATTTTGCCTCATGATCAGATTGATACAGACTGGTGGGGGAGGGGTATTTGCCTTCTGTGCTGGGGAGCAGTCCTTTTCCTGCGATCTCTTGAGCGTATATTGACAACCTTGCAACAGCAAGATGTTGGCTGCCATGGCTCCCACTGCTGTACCTGCCCCAGGTTAGGGTGCTGTGTGTGTGTTGTGTCAGTTGACTAGTTTTGCTAAGAGGTTAGACAATGGGTTTGTACGGGATGGATTGGATAGGGATGATTGTACTTCAGGCAGGGTTTGGACAAGAGCAGAGGTGAGCAAAATACAGCCTGCAAGCTGGCTCTGGCCTATCAGAGGATTTTATCTGGCCTGTGGCAGCCCAGGCCACGATGTGTGCAGCCAGTCCTGACATCCCTGAGCACACAGCGGGGCTGGGGCAGCTCAGTGGATAGACTTCTTCTTGACTGCCCCAGTGGCAGTGGCTCCTTCCAGCTGCTGCTGCTGCCAAACTCAGCCCTGCTGCCCAGGCACCCTGGCCTGTTTCATTGGGTACCCCCAGAGCTGGGGGTACTGGATGGAGTAGGCAAGTGGGATCTTCATGCAGGCTGGCTTGGAACCCACATGGGTAGGGTACGTGTGAATGGGATGAGGCCAGGGATGGGCCGAGGGAGCAGCGTCCAGAAGCCGGATAGGTGGCCAGGGCCAAGATTGTGGGGTGGTAGCAGCATGGGGTTGTATCGGAAACAGATCATAGCTCTGTCTCGGGCCCTGGCCCTATGCTGTCACCGCCCTGCAATCTGTAGCCCCTCCTGCCTGTTCTGCTGCTGGACAATGCTGCCTGCAGCCTCAACCTAGCTGCCTGCCTCTGTACCCTGTCTGCAGGGGTACCAGGCTGGTCTACGTGGAGACCCCGCCCACTTGGCTACATCAGTAATCTACCACTTAAGGCAAGGGTTTTCAACTTTTTTGGATCGTTGTGCCCCCAGTGGCCAGACGCAGTGCAGGCATCGCCTGCCCAGCTGGAGTAGGAGAGGGGATGGTGCCTGACTGGGCTGGGGGGGTGGCACACAGCCAGTGTGGAGTACAGCAGCTGCCATGTGCAAGCTTCCCTCTGCCCCCTGTGTCTGGCTGGGTGGCACCTGCATAGCAGTGTGGGATGGTGCCT